GTGGCTTCTGGCTGGCCGGGGAGGAGATGGAGGAGGAGGCGGAGGCGGGAATAACTGCACTATTTTTCCCTTTCTCTTTTTTTTTTTTTTTTTTCCTTTCCTTCCTCTTTTTTTCTTCCCAAACTTGTCTCAAGTTACACGCAGAAGTGTCGTTAAAGGGGAAAAGGCAGAGGGAAAGGGAGCCTCCTCCTCTGGCCTTGGGGATACACCCTCTGGTGAGGGCTTGGCTTTCCAGGGACATTCCTGGTGTGTGCATTAACCTCTGTCCTGCTCCCAGCAGGCAGCCTCCTGCCCTCTGCCCTTTCCCATCCCCGTCCCGCCTCCAGCACATTCTCCTTGGTCCTCCACCTTGTCTCCTGAAGAAAATGAAGAAGCAGGAAGAGTTCTGAATTATTGGACTGCTGTGGCTGCATGTCACATTCCAGCTAGACCCCCTCTCTCCCCTGGCAGCCATACCCCCGTGACCCTTCCACCAGCTGCCTCCACCTTGGGTGTGCTTTCTGGAGAGATGCAGATCCCATAGCCTAGCTCCAGAAAGAGGAGAGGAGAAAGGAAATTAAATCCAATCCTTCCAAGGGCTGGTTTGAAACAAACTGCTAAAAATGCTAATCCTGGATTCCTGCAATTGGTTTAGAAACAGTGTAATACATATGTTGTGTGAGAGAAGCACACAGGTGGGTACTGCCACCTTAGTAGATTTAACAGAAATTAGCTTAGTAATGATGGTTGTAAAGATTTAATGTATTCAGGAACAGCCCAGGGTGACCATCCCCATTGGGATAAAACTTGTCCTCGCAGCTGTGGTTACTCTGGGGGGTCTCATGGCAGCGCAAGGGGCCATTAGGTATTAATTATCTAATCACTAATATAAAGCTGCTTTAATACAACCAAATGGATGTTTTAATTTGTCACCTTGTCCCCAAGCAAATTGCATCTGGCCTTGGATCTAATTTCGTTACTGAGGGGTTGTGTGACCCTGCCTGCTCCTGACCTGGGGCCAGCTCTGGCTGCTGCCCTCCCTGTCCCCAACTGTCACCAGCAGCCACCTCCTCCGCATCTCCCTCTGCAGCACATCCCTATAGGCTCACTTGGAGTAAACTCCTTAATGATTCAAGCATAAAAATATTATTCCTGGTGCTTATGGAGAGGACTAACATGTCTATTAGCACCACTGGATTCCTTTCTGAATATATTTGCATACATTTCCTCTCTGCCCATTAGGCTGGCTGCTGTGTTTTCCCTCTCTGCTACTCAGCACCTGCTGCACCAGGCTTTTCCAGCTGTGTTCCCAGGCCTCGCTGGAAAACACCCGTCTCAGTCCCATGAAACCTGGAAGGATGCAGCCTCCCCCTGCCAGGGCATCATGTCAGAGGTTGGTGTGGTGGAAGAACAGCAGGAAAGACCAAAGGAAGAGTGTCAGTGAGGGAGCGACAGGATAGGGACTGGCTGAAATTCGGTTTCAAGCCACTGGAGAGGAGCTGCCTGGGTTTTCAGCCAGGTTCTGCAAGGCCATGTGGGTGCTTGTGAAAGCCAAGCCCTAGCCCATGTGTTTCAGCAGCTCCCTGGTATCCCAGGTCCTTTCACAGGTGGGCAGAGAGAAGTCTGAGCCATGGAGTGGGGATGGGAGGTTTAAGTGGAACAGACTTAGGGTCCCCTAGGCTGACACACCCCCTTTCAAGCCCCTGAGGCTCCGTGTCCAAGAGCCCTCATCATCCTCCAGTCCCTCTGCTCCTCTTCACAGCTTCTTGTTCCACGTAGGGAATGGAGCCTCCTGCAGAGGGGTAAGACTGTTATGGGTGGTGAAGAGACATTGTCTTAATCTTGTGCCTTCCTTTAGAGTGGATATTAAGAAAAAAATTGTTCACTGAAAGGGTTGTCAGGCACTGGAACAGGCTTCCCAGGGAAGTAGTGGAGTTGCCATCCATGAAGGTGTTTAAAAGCCAGGTAGATGTGGTGCTTAGGGACACGGTTTGGTGGTGGACTTGGCAGCGCTGGGTTAATGGTTGGACTTTGTGATCTTAAAGGTCTTTTCCAAGCAAAACAATTCTATGATTCCCGAGAAGAGCTGATAGGTTCCAAGCCACAGGGACCTATTCTCTGGCCTTAACTCTGGCTGTGGCACCAGGAAACATCATGTGAAGTGACCATCAAGAGGGTCCTTGCAGGAGCAGCCTGGCCAAGCTCATCCAGCTGGGAAATGGTGGTGGAGCTGGGGTGACCCCATGGGACATCCCTGTGAGGCATGCAAGAGGGTCATAGGAAAGCTGCTGGAAGGATGAGGGGCACCCAAGTGCTTAGAAAAGGAAAAACCGGCACAAGAAGTGGGAACAAGTAAAAATAAACCTTCCCTCCTTGCCACAACGCAAGTTCCTTGCACCCGGTGTCTCCCCGCCTCCTGAAATAATGGCCAGTGCTGCCACCACCCTGCACGGTGCTGCTCTCTCCATGCCTCTTGTCTCCATGGCGACGGCAAGGAATGTCGCCAGGGTGACAGGGAGGCGAGTGAGCTGGAATTTGGCATAAAAAATGGGAATTTGAGGTTGTTTGGTTTTTGTGGTGGTTTTTGTGGTTTTTTTTCCCCCTTTAGTTCTATTTTTGGTTTTCCTTCTCTGCCTTTGCTGGTCTGAGAGGCTCCTTCTCCTACAGAGCCCTTGAGCCAGGTGATCTCCGTCAAGGGCCCTTGATGGAGATCACCCACCCCTGGCTGCTCTGTGACGTGATGGCAATGGCACCACAAGATGAGAGAAGGAGATTTCCTTCTCACTAATGCATTAGTTTCCTACCGCCAGGAGGATGTCTGTGCTTTTGCCCTGGGGAGGGGCTTGGCTGGGAGTTCCTCTCAATTTCTGCTGCAGACTGTGGCTCAGGCTGCATCCAAACCCCTTGAGAGGGTGAGCAGTCCCCAGGATTCACCCCAGACTAGGCCCAGAGAGTGAAGTAATTCAGCTTTCCTGGAGGGCTGAGGAACATGGTGCGGTTGAGCACTGTGGGCCAACTCCATGTCTCACCACATCTGGCCCTATGACTGGGACAGCTCAGCTGGGGCAGTGCTGGAGCACTGGGGGCAAAGATGAGACGGTTGGAGGAGGATGGCAGACAGAGCCTGTTAGGTCCTAAGGAGTCCAAAACTGTGTTGTCTGCTTCCAACACTCAAAGTCAGACCTTCCTGGAGCAGAGGGGGCTTGAGGGATCATGCTGGCTTAGCTGGTGCTGCAGGGAAGCAGGACCATATGTGCCCAAACAGGGGCTGCTGGAATGGGGGTTGCACTTGCCTTTGTCCCTAGGCAGGAGAGGGGTCAGGCAGTGTTTGCTCACCTTCCCAGAAGCTCCTGCTTCCTCTTCCACCCACCCACCTGTCCGTCCATCCATCCATCCATCCATCCATCCATCCATCCATCCATCCATCCATCTCTACCCATCCCTCCAATCCTCCATCCCTCCCTCCATCCTTTTTCCCCTCCTTTCTTCCATCCTTTCCATCCATAGCCCCACCCTTCCATTCCTCCACCCCTCTGCCTCCCCCATCCCCACAGCAGCACTGGGAAAGGTTGGCGGAGTGGGCCTATTTTTGGGAGCATCTCCCTGGCAACGGCTGCCACCACCGTCTGTGGTGGCTTTTCCATAGGTGCTAAAATATTCCACGATTCTTATTAAAGACAGTGCTGGTGGAGACGGCCGGGGGTGGCGAGTGTGAGCCACCCTGCTGCTGGGGCCAGCGGGCCTGGGCGGCCGCGGCACGGCACCCCGGGGGCAAAAGGACAGCGAGGGCCTATTGATTGACATCCTTGGCACAACACCCCCATGTCCCCCCCGCAGTTGCCCCCGCCATGCTGGCTGTGCCATGCGTGAGGTGCAGTTATTTGTCCTCTTACTGCCCAGGCAGAGGGAAACGTGACCAGGTCTCCCAGGGGAGCCGGCAACGAGGAGGGAAAGGCAGAGAGAGTGAAAGCCAACCTGAAGCTGAGGGGGCTGCAGGGGTGCTCTGGTGCTTGGTGGCTTTGCCTACCCAGGAAAGGGACAAGGTGTCTCAGAGGCATCTTCATCCTGTTACTGCGCAGAGGAGAAAGGCCTGTTGCAGTGCCAGAGGGCTGGTGTGCTCCCTGGCAGGGCACCCATGCAGCTCCCAGGCAGTATCTCTTGGGATGCAGGCCCTGGGGACAGGTCTTTTGGGAAAGCAAGTCGCCTCTCAACCTGAACGGATCTCTGCAGGGATGGCTGCAGAGGGGATGGAGGGAAGAGGCTGGCTCTGCTCCATCTGGGCACCTCAATTCCCCAGGACTCCTGGTTTGAGCCAGGGGGCACCAGCTGTGGTTGGGCTGGGGTGAGATGCCTGGGGCAGGAGGGTGCCATGCTCCTTGTTTGCAACTGCTCGTCGGTGGCCCCGGGGAACTGCTAAAAATGCCCTGTGCCCCCCCAGGCTGCTGTGCCTGGTGAGAGTGGGATGCAATCGCTGGTGATGGTGGGGGATGACAGGTCCATCAGTGTGGTGTGCAAGGGGACATCTGTGTGCCAGGGAGTCTTGAGATTATTTTGGGAGGGAGGGTCATGATTGCTGCAGGATTGTGTCCTAGAAGGAAAAAAAAAAAAAAAAAAAAAAAAAAAAAGTGT